AAATAAATCCAAGATGCGACAGTTCAAATTTTCTCTCTGGATAAATGTAAAGCTTTCACTGTGAACTAAAGCAAAAGTGTGTTGATTGTAAATGTAGCTTCAACTGATTTATGAAAAAAAAAAACTAGGCTAATTTATTTTACTCTAGAACAACTACTTGAATTTAAATCACTTGTGTTTACACATTTTTTTCTTTCATTTTTTTTTCTTTTTTCATGATGAACAAGCCCGAATCTATCTGGGAAATGACGTCAAACATCATTTTTTGATGTAGTTGGGATGACGACTTGTATCTTATCTGTCTTGAGCTCCTGAATCGGAGCTAAAGTGTGAGAAGTGGCTTTGGCAGCAGATAAAATAGGAGTGACAGCAGCTAAATAATCTGCCTGTGAAAGAGCTGGCAGAGGAATGTAATTACAGAACGCACGGACAAAGCAGCTGTCTTTCTCTGAGCTTCTGGGGAGATCTCTGAGAGCGGAAGTGAGGAAGTGCTGCAGGAAGGAAGAAAGTCAGAATGAGGATAATGTGACGGGAAAGGTGAAGAAATAAAGATCGGGTAGTCTTTGTGTGGTGCATCGCACACTTTATTCAGTCCTTACTTTTACACTGATTGAAACATATTTATTACTTATTTCTAAAATCAGTTTGTTGTAATTTATCGTTATTTTCTTCATCAATCCATTTGCTTCCTGGCCAGAGAGCCACTCGAATACAAGCTTGATGCTTTTACCTAAAATAAAGACTGACATATTTCAGTACTTTATCCACAGWCCCACAGGCTAACGCTGAACTCAGACCTACGTTTCCATGGTAACGTTCGAGGAGACCGCTGACTAAAAAGGGGCAGACATATCCCACATTCTTCAGTTTTCCCCTCAAAATCTGGGTTTTGTTGGGCAGCTTTCATGATAACAGGAGACAATCAGTGTTTTACATTTTACATGTTTTTCTTAGTTTGGAAAGTCTTAATTTCATGACGCAGTGTGTAGATTTGCTGAAAGTTGAACTGTATTTGAACCACACACACACAAACACATACAAAGGCCCATTCAGTCGTTGTTTCGTTTGTCCCCCATGGGTTATAGTAATTTCCTGACCAAAGTTGTGTGCCTTAAGGCCAGTAAAGTGCACCTAATGTATTTTTATGTGAAAAGAAACTAATACTACTTTATGTTGGACTTCCATCAGCGAATCTTTCCCATAGAGGGACCCAACAAGCTTGACACAACCTTACAGTGCTAACTATGGTGGCCCAGAAGGGTTAACAAAATACAAAAGACATAACGTACGTTGTGCTAAAACAAAAGCCAGTTGGTGGCAGAGAAAATGCACCACATCATAGGAAATGAAGTGTGATGATAGGTGGTTTTGGTGTTTACCTTCTGCTTGGTTCCTACTCCTAATTGCACCACCTGCATGCAATCACCCTGATGACATCCTGGGCTTTAAAAGTGTCTCCAGACGGATGAGTCCTCACTGATGCATAACACCGTTTTTGGTAGTGCTTTAGCCTACAACAGTTATTGAACATTTAAAGTTTATTGTTACTTACCTTAATGTTTTTTGCTGTTCAAGGAAACCTTCACCATTACGTCGTCTGGAGTTTAGGTCTGCCCAGGATCATCACCTAAAGGAACCAAGGAAGATTTTATGGTCTTGCCACTCTGCTTGAAGAAACCTTTTACTTCACAAAGGAAACCTCACCTCTAAGCCAACTTGTTCTTCAGAAACCTGCAAGAAAGGATTTTCATTACCTAAAATATTTATCATTTAAGATCCAATCTTTATTYAAGAAGACTCACCTGGACTCTTCTCCTTTTTTCAGATCCGGACTTGTATATTTTTCCTTGCACCTGTAAATAAAATCACTTACCTTTTTTCATTTACCTCCTGTGTTTGGTTGGTCAATTCCACTCATACTTCTGACTTTCTGAGTTCATGTCAGTATGCATCAGCCAACAATCCAGTCAGTGAGTGGAGCTGAGTCTAAACAAGCCTCAGCCATTTTAGAGGCTCAAGTTAAAAGAATTGATAATCATGTAATTTATTTCCAACAGTTACTTCAACAACAGTTTTTTGGTAATGTTTTGGATAAATTAAATGGACGAATTGCCTTGATGGATGATAAACTTGAATCTGTTTTACCCCCACCACCTCCCATCCAGACTCAGGTGACTGCTCCTGCTGGGTCTATAGCTTGAGAACTGGATTTTCGCCCTGCAGAACTTTTTGATAGGGATCTGGACAAATGTGGTGGATTTCTGCTTCAATGTCACCTTGCTTTCATCAGGTCACCTTCATTATTCCCTGATCAGTTTTCTAAAATAATGTATGTCATCAGTTGATTGAAAGGAAGAGCTTTGCGATGGGCTAACACTTTTTAAAGCTCACATAAAGCCAATACAATAACCTATCAGACCTTTCTCCTGGAGTTCTGTCAGGTTTTTGATCATCCCCTCCAGCAGGAGGCAGCATCCAAATGCCTCCTTTCCCTCCGCCAGGGAAGATGATCAGTCACAGATTTCTCAGTAGATTTCAGAATCATGGCGGAGGAGTCTGGTTGGGATGATGCAGCCCTGAGAGGTATTTTTGTTAATGCTCTTTCTGACTCATTAAAGGATCAGCTGGCTACTCGGGATGAACCCGCTTCTTTGGACGGATTAATCAGCTTGGCGATCCGCATTGACAACAGACTCTGTGAAAGGAGACGTGAGAAGGACTCCAACTACCAGCAGCCACCGCGGCTCAGTGCTTCCTGTTTTCTTCCCTCCGACCCCACAATCATCTAAATCAGATGCAGCCGAGAGTGAGTTTGAGCCAATGCAGCTGGGACGCTCACAGCTTTCTGCTGAAGAACGACAGAGACGGCATGAAGCAAAGTCTTGTTTTTACTGCGAAAAGAAGGATCATCTGGTTGCTAAATGATCGGCTCTGTTAAAAGACCGGACCCATCATTAAGTAAGGGGATTATGGTGGGTCAGTCAAAGTCCTCCCCTAGCACTAGTTTTTCTATTCATGCTACTATTTTTGCTAATCTTAATAAGTTTTCTATCCATGCTTTAGTGGACTCAAGAGCAGAGCAAAATTTAATCTCTATGGACATTGTAGAAGAACTTGGACTTGTGACTGAGAAGCTGGATCCACCATTACCTGTTCTGGGTATCACCGGTCAGAGAATTACAGCCATCACTCATCGGGTAAACAATTTACAACTACTCTTGTCTGGAAATCACTGGGAGTCGGGTGAGTTTTTTGTCATCAATGCATATTCTCCACAATTAGTTTTGGGGTTTTCTTGGCTCAAAAAACACAACCCACAGTTAAACTGGGCTAAGGAGAGAGTTGAACGCTGGAGTGATTTTTGTTTAAATCATTGTTTAAAAGCTGCTGTACCCAGATTAGAGATCAAGAGAGACTCTTTTGAAGAGCATGATTTGTCCAAAGTACACAGTGAATATCATGTTTTGACACCTGTGTTCAGTAAAGCTAAGGCTCTCTCTCTCCCACCTCATAGACCGTATGACTGCTCCATCGAACTGTTACCAGGGGCTCCTTTGCCATCCAGTCGTTTATATAATTTGTCCGGAACAGAAAGGGAATCAATGAGGTTATATATAGAAGGGTCATTAGCTTCTGGCATTATTCGCCCCTCCACGTCTCCACTAGGTGCCGGATTCTTTTTTGTTTCAGAAAAGACAAGAGCCTACGTCCATGTATTTATTTCCATGGGTTAAACCAAATTACTATCAAAAATAAATACCCTCTTATTGATTCGGTGCACCATCAGCTCCATAATGCTACTGTTTTCAAAGCTGGATCTGTGCAATGCTTACCATTTGGTAAGAATTAAAGCAGGAGATGAGTGGAAAACCGCTTTTTAAACACCCTTGGGACATTTTGAGTATTTGGTTATGCCATTTGGGCTAACCAATGCCCCTGCGGTTTTTCAATCACTTATCAATGACGTTCTTCGAGACTTTCTCAACATTTTTGTTTTTGTATATTTAGATGATATCCTCATCTATTCTCAGAACTTGACCCAATACAAACACCATGTTCTCATTGTTCTCTAAAAACTATGTGAAAACCAGCTCTTAAGGCCGAGAAGTGCGAATTTCATTTGTCTACTGTATCATTTTTGGGTTTCATTTTTGGAGAAGGTTTTTTTCAGACTGACCTGGACAAAGTTAAAGCTGTGGCAGAGTGGTCGGTTCCTAAAGATCATAAACAACTTCAGAGTTCTTGGGGTTCACCAACTTTTACCGATGGTTCATGAAGGACAACAGCTGAGTGGCGGCGCCATTAACTCAACTCACACCCACCTTGAGGTCTTTCAAATGGACTACAGAAGCTAATACAACATTTGGTGAGTTAAAGGCTCGTTTTGTTTCCGCTCCCATCCTAAGACACCCTAACCCAACCGAACAGTTCATTGTGGACGTGGACGCTTCTGATTCTGGTGTGGGAGCAGTTCTTTCACAGAGATCCACTGCTGACAACAAGGTCCATCCCTGTGCCTTCTTCTCACGACGACTCAGCCCCTCAGAAACTACGATGTGGGGGACTGTGAACTGTTGGCCATTAAGTTGGCGTTGGAGGAGTGGCGTCATTGGCTCGAAGGTACTGATCTGCCGTTCATAATTTGGACGGATCATAAAAATCTATCGTATCTTCAAACAGCCAAGAGATTAAACCCTCGCCAGGCCCGCTGGTCCCTGTTTTTTGTCTGTTTTAACTTTGTTATTACCTACTGACCGTGAACCATGAATGTTATGCCTGACGCCCTCTCTTGACAGTTCTCTGACACAGAGGGTCCTAAGGATGAGGACAACATCCTTCCCCCTACATGCTTTGTAGGATCCCTCACATGGGCCATAGAAAAGGAGATCCAGGAGGCACTTAGGACCAAACCTGATCCAGGGGAAGGACCTCCTGGTAAGACCTTTGTACCTTTTTCTATTAAAGACAAGGTGTTGGACTGGTTACACTCAAGTCAGTTTTCATGCCACCCTGAGGTTTTTCGCATGACTATGCTAGCTTCAAGGTATTTTTGGTGGCCTTCTATGTCAGCCGACATCAAGGAGTTTATGGCAGCCTGTCCAACTTGTGCCAGAAACAAGAGTGGTAATCGACCTCCTGCTGGACTGTTACAACCAATACCTACACCTGGTCGTGCATGGTCGCACATTGCCATGGATTTTGTTACCGGTTTACCACTCTCTCAAGTAACACTGTCATATTGACTATAATTGACCGTTTCTCTAAAGCTGCACATTTTGTGTCTCTGCCCAAACTCCCTACAGCAATGGAGATGGCTCGCCTGCTAGTCCAACATGTTGTGAGAATCCATGGCATACCAACTGACATTGTTTCTGTTTGAGGCCCACAGTTTGTATCTCAAGTCTGGAAGGCATTCTGCAAAGCCCTAGGTACGACTAAGTCTCTCGTCTGGGTACCATCCCCAGTCCAACGGACAAACCGAGAGAAGCAACCAGGAGCTGGAGGCCTCATTGCGCTGTGTTGTGAGTAGTAACCCTTCTAACTGGAGTCAGCATCTAACCTGGATTGAATACGCTCAAAACACGCATACATCCTCTGCCATTGGTATGTCACCATTTGAAGCTTCACTGGGTTATAATCCTCCTTTATTTCCCAGTGTTGAAACAGAATGTGCAGTCCCGTCTGTCCAGCATCATGTCCGCAGGTGTCGTCGTTTCTGGAGGCAAACCAAGGAGGCGCTCTTGCGGATGGCTGAACAAAATAAAATTGCTGATAGGCATCGTTCTACTGCACCTTCCTACAGAGTTGGTCAACAAGTGTGGTTGTCAACTAAGGATATTCAACTTAAGGACACTACTCGAAAGCTGGCTCCCTGGTACATTGGACCATTCCCGGTGGAACGCATCATAAACCCCTCTGTGGTACGTCTCTCACTCCCTTCCTCTATGAAAGTACATCCTACTTTTCATGTGTCCCAGGTTAAGCCAGTTTCTAACAGTCTTCTGAGCCCTCCTTCCAACTACCCTACGCGCCCCCAAATCATCGACAATCAGCCATCCTGCACGGTCAACAAGATCCTGGATGTCAGACGACGTGGGCGTGGTCTACAGTATCTTGTTGCTTGGGAGGGTTATGGTCCGAAGGAACGCTCGTGGATCTCAAGAGCCCTCAACCTTGATCCCTCCCTCATGTCCACTTTCTACAGCGACAATCCTGAGAAGCGCATCAGATTGCCAGGAGACAATCGTTGGGGGATGGCACTGTGATGATTGGAGGTTTTGGTGTTTACCTTCTGCTTGGTTCCTGCTCCTAAGTGCACCACCTGCATGCAATCACCCTGATGACATCATGGGCTTTAAAAGTGTCTCCAGACGGATGAGTCCTCGCTGATGCATAACACCGTTTTTGGTAGTGCTTTAGCCTACAATAGTTATTGAAAGTTTAAAGTTTATTGTTACTTACCTTAATGTTTTTGCTGTTCAAGGAAACCTTCACCATTACGTCGTCTGGAGTTTTGGTCTGCCCAGGATCATCACCTAAATGAACCAAGGAAGATTTTATGGTCTTGCCACTCTGCCTGAAGAAGCCTTTTACTTCACAAAGGAAACCTCACCTCTAAGCCGACTTGTTCTTCAGAAACCTGTAAGAAAGGATTTTCATTACCTAAAATATTTATCATTCAAGATCCAATCTTTATTGAAAAAGACTCACCTGGACTCTTCCCCTTTTTTTTTCAGATCCGGACTTGTATATTTTTTCCCTGCACCTGTAAATAAAATCACTTACCTTTTTTCATTTACCTCTTGTGTTTGGTTGGTCAGTTCCACTCATACTCTTGACTTTCTGAGTTCATGTCATGAAGAAGGATAAAGGACTATGACTGATAGAGTTTTTGAGTTGAAAAGTAAGTAAAACGTTGATATTCTGTAAGAATATTTTGTGTTCGTTTACTGGAATCGTGACAAAACCACATGAATGTTGAATAGATTAAAATGTGAAAAGAATGACCACACAACCCCCGTACTGGACCTGAGCGAAGCTTCAATGCTCATGGCTGAAGCAAGCAAAGCAGCGAGTGGCACTGTTGGAAACCGGAAGTCCCGGTCTATTTATAACATGGTTCTTCAGTGCCTGGTATGCCCCCTACAGGCCCACGGCTGAATCGTAGACACTCTGAACAGCAATGCTTTCCTGATGTTTTTATTAACGGTTTTATTTAGTGTTGTCAAGGCGTTTTTGGGCATGTCACTAAACAATTTAATCAAGACATTACAATAGTTACGCAATGGTTTATAAGAGTCAAAACTTAACAAGGAAAACTAAGAAAATGGTGTGATGATTTTAAAATCAGTATCTAACCTGCCTAATAAATTCCTTCAGTTGTTAAGTTAATATATTTAGGTGCTGTTATAAAGATTTAGGGCAGTGGTCCCCAAACTACGGCCCGCGGGCCAAATCCGGCCCACCTCCCCATTTGGTCCGGCCCCCAGAACAATATCGGAGAGCATTTAGTTTTTTTCATATATGTGTATTTATATTTGATTATAAAATTGGAATTTTGCAATAAAAATGTTCCTTAGTTATGAACTATTTTCATTAACTATTATTAGTTAGTAACCATTTCATACATACACGCATATAACGTGACATTCTGTTCCACCCTTCTGCGGTCTGTGCCCCTATCTGGCAACCCCCAGAAAAAAAAATCCTAAACCCGCCCCTCTCAAAAAGAGAACTAAATAATGGCGAAAAGATTAGGTAAAAGAAAAATTGATTCAGAATGCAGGGGATTTAAGCTGCAGTGGACAAACAATTATTATTATTTTTTTTGTTCATCTGTCAAGAGGTGGTGGCGGTATTCAAAGAATACAATCTGCGGCGATACTATGAATCCTGTCACAAAGACAAGTATGATAGCTTGCAAGACCAAATGCGAACAAACAAACTCTCAAAGCTAAAAAGTGGACCGTTAGCTCAGAATACATACTTTGAAGAACCCATAGAGTTATTTGATTGTGCTTTCTGGAAAACAATAAATTTTTTAATTTAGGCACTCCTGCAATAGACACACTTTTTCTGTTACAAACTAACTCCGGCCCCCCACCAGAGAAGGGAAAAGTTATGTGGCCCTTACAGGAAAAAGTTTGGGGACCCCTGATTCAGGGGGTTACCCTGGGATAATACAGGACTCCTGTATGAATTTTTTTTTATTTCTTTAAGGTAATATGGCCTGAGCACCAGAGCTAAGTATATATTTTAAATACAAAATAAAATAATAAACAATTTTAAATGATGAGAGCTAATTCCAGACAGACCCTAAACCTCAGCACAGTGAAAGCAATCATCTTGATATCGGCACAAAAATACATTAACTAAACAACATCAGTGTTTTACTTTTCCACTCAAACTCTCCAGCTGTCTTTCGTCCTTCTTCTACAATGTGGTGCATTGCTGCTGCCACCAGCTGGCTTCCATTTTAGTATAACTTATGTTTTAACATAATTTTTGTTGTGTTTTTTTTTTTGTGTTGTTTTGTTTTGAATTTAGTTGAACATTCTGGGCCACCATAGCTAAGTACCCCTTAGGAAAAATGACTCATAAACCACACAGAAAGTGATGATTGGATGTACATCTATAACTGATTAACATTTGGACCCAGTTCAAGATGGTCACCACAGCTAATCCATCTTCAGGACACAAATGCTAAAACTCAGTTTCACTTATCATTGGAACATGGAGAGCTACTTCCATTTGTGTTCCTAAACAATCTTTGCTGCTTATCCTAATAGGTTTTTGAGATTGTGCTGTAGTAGACTCATTTTTAATTAAATAAACACACAATCTGAAAAATAAATAGATACTGGGTTCATACGGAGTCATACAAATGCTCAATACACCAAGTGAATAATTTAAATCATTCAAAATAACTGTGTGCCTAATCAACAGACTACTTCAATTTGTCCACGGCAGATGACCAGGGGATGTATTTGTGCATCTTTCTAACAATAACTTATAATAAAAAAAGAAAAAAAATAATAGAGAAGTTATACAAGTGGTGCTTCTGCAAAAAAAGTGTCTTAATTGATGTAACATCAAACTATGACAACTACACAGATGTGCTTGTTTTGCTCATTGCACCGTACGGGTAATTAGGACTTCTCCTAACTGGTTTGTTCTGTTTCAGAATGGTGAAACGGGTCAGTGTCAGCTCTGCAACAAACTGACTCCTGACATCTTGATGAGTAATAACAGCGCAGGTTCATGTTGTTGCAGTTGGAATTTTTGTGTCTGTTTGTGTGCAAGTGATTGTGTTCCTCTGTCCTTCCTGCTCCTTCACACATTTGCATCCTGCATTGGCTTCATTCTCTTTGCTTAGAGCTAATTGGAAAGTGAAATTGCTTTTCAGATTGTTTCAGCCCGCACCGGCCGACCCAATTAGCTCAACGATTTTTAACGCTGGGAAGAGATCCATGCCTAAACGACGTGGCTAATTTGAATGAGTATTTCAAACCCATGTCTGCAATTAATGTCATTTACATATGTAATGTGTTGGCTTGATTACTTAATTATGTCGGCGTTAACGTGGTGATGTCACTGACAGGTGTCTTTTAGAGAAAAGGTGTGGAAACCCACGCCGACGTTGTACTGCAATCATAGAAACTGTGGCTCCACCTGAAATTTAGAGCTGCCGAGCTCCTGCAGCCTCAAACTTCCACATCTATTCCTGTCAAGTACATTCACTGTCATCCCCTGGCTTGTCACGGACCGGCAGGTATGGATTTTCTTTCCAGTTAGCACATACAGTCTCATACTATTGTCATGTGGTAGCCACTATTTTAAGCAGGTGCCTAAAACCTGAGTATTGAATGTTTTTTTTTACTCTTAAGAATCAAAATAAAATATTTGATGCAGTTTCTTTTTTTCATTTAGTTTAAACCCCTTCACTGCATTATAAGTGATTTAAACGAATAGATGTTGCTCAAATGTGCCTGTTGTCATTTTACCTTTACTTCTGAAGCTTAACCTGCCTACTGAGTAAATCTGTGGGAGAAAAAAAAAAGCCAAAAATGCACTAGCTGCTGGGAAAAGGTYCAGAGATGGGAGGGCTGATCGGTAAGTCGGCAGCTGGTAGAATCAAAATGGAGAGGCACAGTTGTAAACGGTGCTGGCCACAGAGCTATCTTTTGAGTTTGAGGATTTTTTTTCACCTTCAGAATCCCTTGAAGCAGGATCTGTGGACAAGTAGTGGGGGGACCACAGAGGTTCCTGAGCTCACGGTTGGAGTCGCGCGCTCCTGCTGCAGTAAAGCCTGCAGCAGATGTTGCAAGTCGAGGCAGTCAAAGTGTAACATATGGTCAGTAAGAATAAAAAGAATGCAGCCCATGAACACTGGTTTGTTTTTCTAACACAAAAAATAAATAAATAAAAAAGTAGGGATAAACCGATTGCAGTTTTCTGGCGGAGCACCGATCTTCAAAAATGTGACATGCCGATTCAGTTTTTGGCCGATAAAGATTTTTAAAATAGCTGACACTCTCAGGTGTTATAAGGTTGCGATACACTTTGATGTGTTCCAATCTTATTTTATTGAAAAACATTGAATAATGCCTTTGAAAAAGTATGAAGTTATTTTAACTGGACGTGAGTGCTCACATCAGAACAAAAAGGGACAGTGGCAGGTTTTCACACCTTTGTGGAGGCAGATGAGAAGCCAATCTTTTCCACTTTCTCTACGTATCGTCCAATCTCACAAAATTAAGGAAATTATGCCAATAAATCGGCCGGACGATTTATCGGTGCACCCCTAAAGGTAGATGTTTGGGAAATATTTAAAACGATCGTTAGGCTGATGGTCCTCTGTGAGCAATAGGTGATAATCAGAACACTAACGATCGGTCATTAGGCTGATGGTCCTCTTTCACATGTGAACAAACAGTTTTTATTGTCAGTGTTAAGTCTGTTTCTCCACCATGTGGAGGCACTCCTTTGAGGGCTAAGCTTACCTGTAACTCCTTAAACCAAAGAGGTTACAGACAAAACATCTTTGAACAAAGAACTCATGCAGGGGACCCACTCAACTTTTTTTTAGATTTTTTTTACCTGGATTACTGAGATGCATCATGACATTTGGCAAATATTGGCATCACTTTTTTAGGTTTGTGATTGGATTTCACTGATTTTGAATTGAGGGAAACAATGCAAAGGGGATTAAAAKATGTTATTTGTTAATACATTTTTCTAAAAGCTTGCATCCATGTCAAGATGAAAAAGTTATAAATTATTTGCAAATGTCAATGCTAATATATTATAAATTTCAACACCTGCAAACAAAAAGTTAATTTTACATTCTGTCAAAAAGTCATGATTACTCAGAACCATATCAGCTGTAAAATCAGTCATGAAAACAGATTAAAGGATAAAGAGGAACATGTCCAAAAGTAAGGATAATGGTTAGCCAGGCTGCTCTCATTATAGGACAAATTTTTAAGGTAAATAAAATTCTATAATAAAAAAAAAATAAGATTTTTTGTACCAACAATTAAACCTCAACACTTATGAATGATATTTTTTTACTTTGCTGTTTTTATTTATTTTATTTTTTCAATAAAAGTCTGTTTTACCCCTGTGTTTATGTTTGATTTCAAGACTAAAAAGGCACTAAATAATCATACATTTTTGAGAAAAAATTACTAACGAGCAGACTATTCCTTTAATAGACTCAAGCTATCTTTTTCAAAGTTACAACTTTTAGCTTTTAGAGACGT